GCAGAGGAGAGGAGAGCAGTGGAAATCTATGGGCCGGTCCTTGGGACGGAAGAGCCATTGCTGCTAGCAAAACCCCACCCTACCTTTGGGGATAAAAGACAGGGGGAGGAGATGAATAGATGTGGCAGACAACTATTCATCTTCTGGCCGGCCGGACTTTTAACCCGCGGTGAGAGAGAAACTTTTTGCCGGGGCTGCTGGCAGTCACTCCTAAATAAAGGAATCATTGATTTAACTACAGAGGGTTTGTTGTGTTCGGGGAGCTGGGTCAGAACACCCACCGGCATCCACAGCAAGCCTATCAAGATCTATCAATGTCTCAGTCAATGTTTCCCCAAAAAAACTTTGTAGCTATCAAATGTACAGAATGTTGGCCAGCTAGATGGCAGCACGTCACTGAATTTGGCTACTCTGGAGTGCTAACTTTTCAATTTAAAATATTTAACACTTAATAGTACTGAACATTTATTAATTTCCTAGATATTTATGTTGAAATAAATAACAAATTAATTAGCTTAATAATATTTCTTATTAAAGCATTATTTAGTGGTATAAAAAAAACAATGTCAATATTTTGTAACATTTAAATAATATTTAAATCAATAAGAAGTGAACATTCAATAATAGTAATATTTCAAGGTATGTACATAAATAATATTTCAAAATAATTTTTAAAATCATATTTCAAAATATTTAAATAAATTAAATAATAATTCATATCAATATAGTGCTAAAAAATCCAAGAACTGAATCCTGCATTGTTCCCAGAATACGCCATGAAGTTCAGGAGAGTTGCCATGGGAAATTACGCTGGTGGCATTTGTGTGATTTGTGGAGTCATTTGCATGATGTCACAACACAGGTGCCTGTCACCTGCCTGCATATGGATGCCTCCCTCAGAGTCTTAGAGAACGCAGAAGTGCCCCCTCCCAACCGTCTATAGGAAGCCTCTTGGACTACCTTCAGAGTAGGGTCAAATAAGTTAAAATGGACACCCAACATCAATCACACTGTCCCAGCCATTTGGTCTGAAATGGTATAGGACAGGGGTCCTCAAATTACGGCTTACTGTAATCAGGACTTACCTTCACAAGCCCCGCGGACTGGAACTGAAAGGTAAGGCCAACAATTTTGGGCTGCCGAGGCATTCTGGAGGTGAAGGAGCTGAAAAATGGGGTGCGCAGTTACCCCCAGAAGGCCAAAAAACTGGCAAAAACAGCCCATTTTCATTTTTTTTAATTTTTTTTTACTTTTTATTTTGTTTATGCAAACTTCACATCTTTGCAACACATTACACTTCTTTTACATATCTTTTGTGATTTTTTTTATCTGTACATATAAGTCTTGTATAGCTATAACTTTATATATATGTTCATTTATATTATTTCATACATGTTTTTCTTCATTCTATATATAACATTCTATATATTCTTTTTTTTATAAATTTTTTATTTCTCATATATACATTCACAATTATATAATCTCAGGATATGTTGTTAATAATATGTATTTATAACAATTTTTCTCCCCTACAATTGACGATATAATTGAGATTGCTTTCTT